ATTTAAATCTTAAACATTTTACACATTACTTTTCAATTGAATATCATACTTTTATGGGAACACTTATAAACTTTCCATAATTATTTTTCCCCCACTTCACATCACTTATATTTTAAATCATTGTATCATTAAAATGTTCCCATTTCTTCCTACTTCAATTCTCTCATTTATTTCATTGCCTTCCTTTTATTCACAAAAGTTTCACTAAGTTACACTGAATATTTTATCCCATTTTTTGATCACGTTTCCAATTTTCTAGCATTACTTCTAAGTACAAATATAACAATAAAATCTTATGTACCTTTGCCGAATCCCTTTTTAAATTTTTACCCATTATCTCTAAATGAATCTTGTTTCTTTACATCTTGCTCCACACCATTGAAGCTTCTCATCCCTTCCTTCCTCCCTTGCTTCTTCTTCTCCATGCCCTTTTTACCCCCTTGTCTCTCCACCTCCCTTTTCCTCTTCTGTATTCCCCCTTTCTCTTGTTTTCTAACATTATATCCACTTTTCACCTTATTTTTCTCTTTTTTGGTTGTTTTTTTAAATCTTAAAGTCTCCTTTTTCTTTTCCTCCTTCTCCCTTTCTTCCCCAAATAAAGTTACTTGTTCATCAAAGATGGCTTCTTCTTTGTCCCAATCATCTTGTTGCACAGTCAGTTTCTCATAGGTGCAAATTGCCATTTCTAGGAATTGAAAAAGAGAGCCAAGAGAATCCTTCCCTTCTTGTTCCTCTTCTTTGTATTTTTTTAATTCAATTTTCAATTCATCCACAAGTGATGCCATTGTAGAAAGAATTTTTTTTCAAAACAACCACCCAAGTGTTTTTAGTCCTTCAAAAATAATTTCCAAAAGTCCCAAAGTTACCAAACAGTCCAAATAAGCTGTTTCTTTTAGCACTTTCTTCTTTCTTCACTTTCTCTTTCTGGGGTTACTGTTTAGTTGCAAAATTCCAGTTAAAATGTATCTTTTAGAAGTCTTGTTAGTATTTAATGATTCTTTAAAATTCGAGGCAATCTCCTCCTTGCTTCCAAATCCTGCTCCAATTCTTTCCCTATCCCTTCCCACTTACAGCAAAAAAAAATTTTTTAATGTTCAGAAACCTTATTATCTCTTTAGCATTTAGTTATCCAGTTTACCTATTGATGCCAAAGCGGGTTTTTCCGATTTCTCATTCATTTCTGTTCGTTGTCAACGTTAGGAAGGAGAGTGAAAAAAAAAGAACTTTCCCTTTTAACTTTCATTCGCCGCTTGTAAATCTCTGGGAACGATGTATCTTTTGCAAATTTTAAGTTCCAGGGTACCTTCGTTGTTGCTTTGTCCCGGTCAACAAAAAAACTTTCACTTCTCAACTCCTCCTGCACTTTCTTTTCCGGCTGAGCGCTTCTTTGTGGCGGCCATTTCTGGCCGCCGCTCTACCGCCTTCGGAAAAGGGAGTTTAGCCGGCTAGGGAAGAGAGGCGCGATTTCTCTCAACCCTGCCAGATCCCCCCTATCTTCACCACCTTCTACGGAGGTGGCTAGCCCTGAAGCCGGGTGGCTCAGGGTACTCCAGCACGATCGCGGATTCCTGCCTGCCCCGAAGCGCTGCAAACCGGAAGTCCTCCCCTTGATAAGATCTATAATTGTTGATCTGAAGAAAAACAAATATTTATATTCATCTATTAGAAAAGTATAAAGAAAGCATTAGGATAATACTGACCCCATTAGGATAGAGAAAAAGCAGTAGGGTATCATACCCTCCTACATCAATACAGGTGTGTCTGTATGTGTTTACATCTATGTATGTATCTGCCTGTATTTATTTACAACACATACATACACACATAACTTGTTTCATCTGAAATTAATGTAAATGAAGTGGGAAGTGCCTATTGTCTTCTTCCAGTTCATTTCCACCAGTGTTTTATCTGCATAAAGAAATAAATGACACTTTTTTAACCTTTAATGCTATTTTATATAATGTTTTCACTCGGAAATTAATTCCATTCTGTTCAGTGGATCTTACTCCAAATTAAGACTATACAAGGGTATACTGTAGAAATATTCCAAAAACAAATAATTCTTCTTCCAGGATCTTAGAGGCACAGTACTTAAAATATGCAAATTTATTGGAAAAGAGCTGAGCAGCCAGGAAGTGGACAAAGTTGTGGAGATGTCTACATTCAAGAACATGAAATCTGATCCTAGGGCAAATAGTATGAAAACATATGAAGAGTGTTTTGGACTAAAAAACATAACGCATTTACGGAAAGGTAATATTGACAGAACAAAATCAAACTTTGGAATTTTTGTTTCTAACCATGGGACAAAAATGCTTCAGAAACCCCTTGTTTTTCTCATGTGTCCTCAAGACATTGACTTCTTCTTGTTGTCCCCAGAGTATATCTGAGGTAGCTTTATGCCATCCTCAGCTATTCCAGTGTTCAATGAACATTTCCAGTACTTCAGCAGGCAACATCTATGTTAGTTTACAGTGAGGAGAGGTGAATTCTGCACTCACATTATTCCTGGGAGTAGGATCAGTGCAATTCCCATTGATCACAAGAAAGGACATGGCCTCAATTCTCCAGGCCTTGCAGGGCCATTCTGGCTTGGACAGTGAAGAATCCAGTTCTTTCTGATGAGGCTTTTCCCCGGATCTTCCAGATCGTGAGATGTAGCTTTGAAAGGGGGCTGAACCAGGCTGAGAGGTTGTGTGAGAGGAGAGAAAGAAAGAGGGAGAGAAATGGGAGAGAGGGAGAGAGAGATGATGCCCCTGCAGCTTGAGCAATAGCTGGGTCTTAACTGCTGTGCGCCACGACCCCCTTTGAGGAGATTTCTTGCTCCTTCAGAAGTGTAGCTTTTTATTTCTTAAGTTTTGATCCCACAATTATTACTTCCAGGCAGTAAGAATCCATTTTGTGGTCCCTTGTGCAAGAACTGATTGTTTTTGTTAAGCAAAGAACCATTTATTTTTTTAGCCATGCTTATGTTATACAGGTAGTCCTTGACTTACAACAGTTCATTTCGTGACCGTTCAAAGTTACAACGGCATTGAAAAAAGTGACTTATGACAGGTTTTCAGACTTACCACTGTTGCAGCATCCCCATAATTAAAATTCAGGCGCTTGGCAACTGACTCACATTGATGATGGTTGCAGTGTCCCAGAATTACGGGATCCCCTTTGCAACCTTCTGACAAGCAAACTCAATGGGAAATCCAGATTCACTTAACAACCATTTTACTAACTTAACTATTGCAATGATTCAGCTTAATGGCTGTGCCAAGAAAAGTTGTAAAATGGGGCAAACTCATTTAACAAATGTTTCACTTCGCAACAAAGTTTGGGTTCAGTCGTGGTTGTAACTCAAGGACTACCTGTATATCCTCTTTCTGCTGAAAAATTGTCCAAAGTAATGGATTACTATAAAACCTCAGTTGTGACTATGGCTGAGTCCAAAATCTCACTCTTTGACTTACTGCCTGATGAATAAATGTGCTATGAGAGGGTAAAGGTAGCAGCAGTTGGATCTTGTGGGAAGAGAGAACAGTGGTTCCAAAACTGTACCAGCTACGTAAAGCCAAAAAGATGATCAGCACTCGCAGTAGCGGGACCTTCATGGTGGGCAGGTCCGTGAGGATTCATCATCAATGCTGGGGCTCTTTTCACACTACACACTACAGGCTAGGATCAATAATTGACTCTTCTACCTGCTCCTTTTTCATCAGGAACTGTTGGAGACTGGAAGAATATCATGACAGTATCGCAAAGCGAAAGGTTTGACAAAATTTTCCAAGCACAAATGAAGGATATAGGTCTCAAATTCATTTGGGATTTAAAAGAAATACAATCTACTCAGCATGGGAAGCTGCAGGAACCTCTCCAGGAGAACAAAGAGCAGAAATGTTCAACACAAATGTAATATGTATGTGCGATTTAAGCCACTTCAATACACCTATGTATTTTCTGTATGTACTTATGTGTATTGTGTGCATAACTGCTTTCTGCTCAAAGTTGTTTCCTGCTTAGGGAGCAACCTTAAAAAAAACCCATCTTTTTCAAAATCTTGAAAACATCCTATAATTTATCACCACCAATGTGTCAAGATATACCAGAATGATTAAATGATATAAACAAATGCTTTGGGAAGTGGGAGAAATGTCTTTTGTAATGAGTAGAGAACAAAGATCTGCTAATCTATTTTTTGGGGGGGTCAACATAATGGTAGCTTCAATAATGGAAAAACGCTTTTGGAACAGGATCTTGAATATATGAATTTTGTATTGGTTGATTTTATAAAAAAGATGATGTTAGGGAAAAAATACTTACAAATTTAGTTACTTACATGCTACATCCAACAAATTAAATAATACTTACTGATGTAGATCATGATGTAGAGGCCAAGTCAGAGGGTACAGCTGATCAATTTCTTTATATCTCTAGTTTAATAATAAGTTTAAAAATTAATTTGCTTGGTCTGGGTGGGTCACCACCAACAGATCGGTGTGGATCTCTCGGCAACACTGGATCCTATTTTTCCCCTAAGTTCTTCCTTCTCGTCCCATATATTTTCTCGCCAAACATTATCATTTTTCTTCTTCATTTATTTGATCTATCTCGCTAATAAAATTATTTAAAAATTCGTTGATCAGATAAATTTTTTAGGGTTTTTTAGCCTGCTGCAATTCTGCAACTCTCAGTGGTTTACAAATATTAAAACACTCATATTCAATCATTGAACAATTAGCCATCCACAAGCAAGCTAAGATTAATCCAGTAGGCAATGGCCAATAGTCCATAAAACAAATGCAAAGCTGGTCCAGCAAGTAATTCCACTGAACCAACTTAAAGTCACCAGGCAAAACTGAATGTACCTCCACGAGAACTCACTTGTCAGGAGAAGTTCAAAGGGAAACATGAATAAGCAGGCAGCCATGAATCACACACGTTCCCAGAAACACCTCCTTCTGCCTGCCATGCCAAATAGCTTCCTGGTGCAGCCCATCAAGAGGAGTGGGGCCTTCTGCCAAGTAATCTGGAAGACCTCCTTTTCTCTACCCTGTGTGCTCTGAGATCCACCATGGAAGGCAGCTCTTCCCCATCCTCTTCACTGACCTGCAAGCTGTCCCCTGCAAGCTGTCCCCATCCTCTTCACTGACCTGCAAGCTGAAACCTGTAGTTCTCTTTCTGCTGGCGGTTCAGGGTCATGATTATTAACCCCGTTTCCAATGTGCTCCTCCTCCCTTGAGCAGATCTCCAAGAAAGAGTCAGAGGAATCATCCAAGTGAGCCCTTTGACCTGATTATCAAACTATGCACTTACCACTAATGATATAAATCAGATTTAAGTTCTGTTAACAGAATAAAACACATCTGGCTTGATTCACACGTCATGTTTAAACTATAAACTACAGCTTGCAGATAAAGTGGGCTAAAGTGCCAATTTCATAGTTAAACAAACCAACAAACCAAACATGCTCTATGTGAATTCAATCCAAGTGTCAGTGCTAAATTCAGTTTGCAAGATACTTACAAGGTAGTCGTCCCATGCTTTAATGCTTTAATGCACATTGGGTTATCCTCTGAAGATTTGGCTTTCAGCACTATTAAACCTGCTTACAAGGGTAAAGATCAGAGCTGGGATCCTCCAGACAATTTATGAGAAACCATATTTAAGGTTGAGAGGTTATGGAACATGGAGTCACAACTATCAGACCACATCCAACTAGAAATCCAGGCCACTAAAGTCATTTGGGGCCAGAGATCAATTTAGACCCGTGTTGGCGAACCTATGCCATGCGTGCCACAGGTGGCACGCACAGCCATTTGTGCTGGCACGCAAGCTGCAGGCAAACTTATCTCACTGTCCATGTGCGCGTCTCACAGCTGATTTTTGGCCAGTTTGAGGCCTTTTTCGGCCTCCCAAAGGCTTGAGGAAGGCTTTTGCAGGCTTCTTCAACTTTGTAGGCCGAAATCTAGCCCCATTTCATCACTTCCGTTTTTTTTGGAAAAACAGGAAGTGACAAAACGGGGCTAGATTTCGGCCTACAAAGCACTGATCTAGACCATTGTCTCCACCAAGGGTGTGGGAATACTATCCAGACCCAAAATCAATTCAGTTTCTAGATCTGTGTGTTGATCCTTCATTTTTTTGATTTTGACAAGCTCTATGAAGCTGATTACCACAATGTCAGGGCCAAGCCTAGAGATGACTGGAACGGGACAACTTGGTGGGTGGCTTGGTGCAGGTGGATAACCACAACCCATTGCCATACAACAAAGTGGGGAGGGTATAACATCTGGAACAATTTATTACATGTAAAAATGCCTGAATATGAAAAATATCTGATTATCCCCTCCCTTCCACCCATCCCTTGGCACATCAGGACTCAAATCCAAGAAGGCATTTGGCAAAATCATAAGAAAAATCCACATACAACACTTTCAATATCTTGCTCAAGGAGGATGCATGTGTCATAGAATAATTCTCAAGTACTTTCTATTTCATTCATTTCCTTTTCCAGATGGCAATGCTGTAAAACTTGAACAAGCTTGAAAAATGCTTGAAAAAGCAAAACAAGACACCCCCTGACTTGTATAAGAGCTACTGATAAAAATATCTGATATTGAACACGCACACAGATAAGCACTGGTCAAAACTGCATCAAGTTACATCCATGAAGCTGGCAACAACATGGAAATGGTTTGCCATAACCTTCCAATCTCTTATTGACTTGGGTCGTCAAAATGTTTGTGCAATCATTTTTATCTGAAATAATGAACTTTGTGGTTACAGTTAAATATTTGCCAGCATCTATTTGAATAAGTTAGCAATTAACTAACTGAACCCCTGCATAAATAGAATTTATAACATTTCTAAAGCTTTACAATTACTAACCCAATATTTAGAATTTGGTTGTCTCTTCAGAAAACTATTATAGATCTTGGTGATATCCAAACACTTATCACTATCTATTAAGTAATGCAAATTAAGTAATGCAGTGCAATCAAAGACGGTGGCAGGAAGACTGAGGGCGCAATGGTTAGAATGCAATATTTCAGGCTAACTCTGCTTACTGCCAGGAGTTTGGTTCTGACCAGCTCAAGGTTGACGCAGCCTTCCATCTTTCTGAGATTGATAAGAAGAGAACCTAGATTGTTGGGGACAAAATGCCTAATATAAGCCCTATCCCCCAAATCAGCCCTATTTAAGAGCTTGCACAATCATCCATCCACCCATTCCATCTGGTTGCTCCTGGTGCCGTGACCATGAGGTGAGGCAGAAGGATGATGGAACTGCCCCATGTGCCCAACACCAGCTTACCTCAGGGCCCCCACAGCCAGGCCCCAATACCTGCTTCATAGCAGCAGCAGCAGCAGCAGCAGCCATGTGCAGCAGGAGCCCATGTGGCCGCCGGCCCACTTCTGCTTGCTTGCAGAGGAGGCCGAGTGGTGTGCTGGTGCTGTGGCCATGAGGCAAGGCAGGTGTTGGGGCATGGATGGCCTGGCTGCTGGGGCCCTGAGGTAAGGGTGGAATGCGTGGGGGCAGGTCCATTCCCCCATCTCACCTCATGGCCACGTCACCAGTGCATTGTGTGGCCTCTTGCTCTGTTGCAGGTGCAAGCAAGCAAAAGAAGTAGGCCGGCAGCCACTTGGGGTCCTGCTGGACAGGGCTGTCATAGTCATTGCCACAAAGTGGCCTGGCTACAGGGTCCCTAAGATAAGCTGGTCCAGAGGTAATGGTGCAACTCCAATCTCCCACTTTGTGGTAATTGCACTGGTGCACTGTGTGGGCTGTACATGGGGGAAAATATAAGACACTTCCCCAAAATAAGCCCTACTGCTTATTTTGGGGCCCAAAAGAAAATAAGACCTTAATGGAACTCCATCTACATGGAGGGAAGTATGCAGTGGGGACCCCAAGACTCTGTCTTAGACCCAGTAGTCTTTAACATCTTCAACAATGGTTTAGACAAGGGGATAGCAGGGAAATTTGCAAATGACACCAAGCTGACAGGAATACCCAATATTCCAGAAGATACAGACTCAAGATACAAAAGGATATTGACAGACTTGAACACTGGGTCCTTTCTCACAAAATGAAATTTAACATAGAGAAAAGTAAGGTTTTACATCTAGGCAAGAAAAATCAAACACACTGGTGCAGAATAAAATGGTACCTGGCTCAACAGTAATAACTCTGAGAGAGATCTTGGAGTCTAGTGAGCATTCACTTCAATATGAACCAGCAGTGTGCTGCAGACTAAAATCTGTGCCTGCCCTGAAAAAGTTCTGCTGCTCACATGGGAAACAATCAAAATAGCTGAGGAGAAGGAGGGGGGAGGGAGGGGGGGGAGGAGGAGGAGGAGGAGGAGGAGGAGGAAGGCTGCAGCTTCCAAAAAAACCAACTAGAGGGATAGAATGAAGTTCACTTGAAGTATTAATAACACTTTGTAATCCCTTGGAATATTGCATCCAGTTTGGGTCACCATAATATAAAAATAGGTTGAGACTCTAGAAAAAGTGCAGAGAAAAGCAACAAGGATGATTAGGGGACTGGAAGATAAACGTATGAAGAATGGCTGCAGGAATTGGGTATGTCTAATTTAATGAAAAGAGGGACTGGGGATGATATGATAGCAGTGTTTCAATATCTAAGGGGCTTCTACAAAGAAGAGGGAATCAACCTCCTCTCCAAAGCCCCTGAAGACAGGACAAGAAGCAATGGATGGAAACTAATCAAGCAGAGAAGCAACCTAGAACTAAGGAGAAATTTCCTGACAGTTAGAACAATTAATTAGTTTGCCTCCAGAACTGGAGGTTTTTAAGAAGGGGTTGGACAACCAAATGATATAGGGTCTTCTGGTTGAGCAGGGGATTGGACTAGAAGAACCCCCCGCCCCCAAAGTCCCTTCCAACTCTGTTATTCTGAATTGAGTTGAGTGACGGTCCTTCAAGAGGACCATTGCCTCTTTAAGAACCAGTGGGGTCATTCCTTCTTTTATGGAGGAGTTCATTACCACCCACACCCAATCCTGCATTCCTTTCCACGCAGCCAGGAGGGACATGGATCTAACCGACAAGTGACTAAGTAGCAGCAGACAGGGTCCTGTCCACCTCCACAATTAGACGGTGGGAGTGAGTGACAGTAGTGATGTGTAAGATATGTTTCCATCTTTTCTCCATTGTTATGGATGACCTAATGTAAAGCTGTATCAAATTGCAGGATCTGAGAAGTTCTGTACTGAAAATATGCAACTTCCTAGGAAAAAAACTAACTGGAAAGGAGGTGGATGATGTGGTGGATAAAGCTACATTTGATAACATGAAAGTGGATTCTAGATCAAACTACACATTCATGCCTCCTGACATTGTAGATTGCAGAAAAGGAGGCTTTCTTCGCAAAGGTAAATCAATAGTAATTCACACTCTGGTTTTTATATATCAGCCTTCATCTT